GCTTGATGAGAGGGTTTTGATTGTGAACATATATTACAAGACAATACATAGACTTTAACATCCTTCCTGAGGGACGGCCACCAATACTGTCTGGAAGTTAAGTCAATAGTCTTGGACACTCCCATATGTCCAGCCATCTTAATATCATGGTAATCATGAAGTAGTCCTCCTCTTAGTTTAAGAAGTACGTAGTGCCTCCCTGGAGGTTTATCACTAGGTGGCTTTTCTTGAGCCTTTTGGATTCTGTGCAGAAGAGGGGAGGAGACTCTCATTCTAGTTACAGCAATAATGTTTCCAGGTAGTATAACAGGTTCAGGTTTGTCCTCCTCCCAATCAAGAGTCTCAAACTGTCTAGACAAGGAGTCCACTTTGGTATTACGATTACTTGGTTGATAGGAAATCAGATAGTTGAAGCGGGAAAGAAAGAGAGCCCAACGTGCTTGTCTGGAGGAAAGCCTTTTAGTGTCACTTAGATAGGATAAATTCTAATGATCTGTGAGAATCATGAGAGGTACAGAAGAACATTCTAGTAAGTGACGCCATTCCTTAAGAGCTAGAATTATAGCCAATAATTCCCTATTACCAATATCATAATTATTTTCTGCAGGAGTCAATTTATGAGAAAAGAACAAACAAGGATGCAACGGGGCATTTGGAGAAGCTCTCTGGGATAGGATAGCTCCCATACCGGATTTGGAAGCGTCCACTTCTATGATGAAAGGTCTAGAGGGACTTTGGTTCACCAAGATGGGAGCAGAGTGAAGGAAGCCTTGGCTTCCATTGACCAGTTGACATGATTCGCTCCCTTTTTTTTCATCACAGTTATAGGAGCTATGACCTGAGAAAAGTTTTTGATAATGTAATAATTAGCAAAACCAATAAATCTTTGCATGGCCTTCAATCTAAGGGGTAACGGCCATTCGAGAATAGAGGAAAGTTTTTTGGGGTCCATTTGAAAGCCTTTAGCTGAAATTGTGTAAACCAAGAAAGAATGGAAGTTTGATTGAACAAACACTTCTCTAATTTACAATACAAGCCATTGGCAAGAAGCATTGGTAATATGGTTCTGACATGTTTGTGATGTGTTTGTACATCAGGAGAATGTATAAGTATGTTGTCAAGATATACTATAGCAAAGGAGTGTAAATAATCTCTCAAAACATCATTAATGAGATCTTGGAAGACAGCAGGGGAGTTACATAATACAACTGTATATTCATAATGACAGCTTCGAGTGTTGAATGCTGTCATCGATTAGTTTCCTTCTTTGATGTGAATAAGGTTGTATGCTCCTCTGAGATCTAACTTGGTAAACATTTTTGAACCACAAAGTCTATCAAAGAGTTCCGTTATCAAGGGTATGGGATAAACCTTCTTGATAGTAATTTTGTTTAATCCCCTATAATCTATGCAAGGATGAAGGTCACCTTCTTTTTTGAAAACCAAAAAGAAACCTGCTCCTGCTGGTGAGGACGAATGTCTAATAAACCCCTTTTTTAGGGATTCCTGTATATATTCCTCCATTACTTTATTTTCAGTTTGAGATAGAGGGTGCAATCTTCCCCTGGGTGGCATAGTGCCTGGTAGAAGTCTGATGGCGCAATCGTAGGGCCTGTGAGGAGGAATACAGTCTGCCTCAACTTTATCAAACACTTTCTTAAGGTCCATGTACGGTGGTGGTATTACAGTGAACAGTGGTGGAGAAGAAGGAGCATTAAGAGAACAAAGGGGTCTAACATGGCTGATGTATGAATGCCTACATGAAGTGCTACAAGATAACACCTGTCTTTCTCTTCAATTGAGAGTAGGGTTATGTTTCTGTACCAAGGAAAACCAAGAACTAGAGAGCAAGAAGGAGAAGAAATGGCTTGGAATGTGATATTTTATTTTTTTATGCAGTAAGCCTACCGATAGGATAACAGCCTTTGTTTGGTGTGTAACAAACGGAACTGTTAATGGTCTACCATCTATGGCCTCAACAGTCAAGGGTGTTTCTTTCTCTTCCAGAGGAAGAGAAATAGATGAAGCATAAGTCTGCTCAATAAAGTTCTCACTGAACCAGAGTCAATGAGGGCCAAAGTTTTGTCACGATTCGGGGAACCCAACACCCTGGCACACACACACACACACACACAAAAGGTGCCGTACCGGACCTTAGAGTGGCCGGGCTAAGCACACACAGAATAGTCAGGAGACAAGCCGAGTAAGGGGAACCAGAAGACAGAATAACGTGAAACGAGCCGAGGTCAAAGGGTAGGAGAAAGTCACAGAGTCAGATAAACAAGCCAGAGAGTACGTAACCAGAAACACAAGGTAAGTAGCAATACTAGAAAGCAAAGACCACAACAGGGCAGGGAGGAACAGGAAAGGTAAGTATTTAAACCATAAGGTTAATTCTGATTGGATAATTTCCAATCAGAATTAACAATCACACGTGGGAGATATCTAGACCTCCCACTGTGATTGAGGCACTGTGCCTTTAACGCCGGGTCAGGTGACTGACCCCGGCGTGTACAAACTTGGGCGGTCTCCCAGCGTGCAGCGTCATGTATGCTGCCGCTGGGGGACGTGGAGGAAACGGCGGGCGGCATCCGAGGCTGGAAGGATGTCGCTCGCCGGACCCACGAGGAGGAGGGGACCGCGGACGGCTGGAGTGCAGCCTCCCCTCGCAGCCGCCCGCGGGATCCCGACAAGTTTGATGACAAACCTCACCCCAGGAAAGGGTTACAGGCAGAAAAAACCTGTGTGGAGCGGGTTTAGGGGACAAAGACATTACACCCAAGGCCTGTCCCCTGAACAAACTTAGGCGGTGGAGTTTTCCGGATAAGATGGGCAGTTATTACGCAAATGCCCTTTTTTTAAAACAGTATATGCACAAACCTTCCTTGCTAACTGCATAGGTTCAGAAGCAGGGCCAGGTGCTGGTAGGTCAGGTAGCTCTGTTATGACAGGACCAGGAGTGAGCTTTCTCAGGACCCTTCTTTGCCTATCTAGATTAAGATGCTTCTGTCTGACCGATATATTAATGTCTGACATGAACTGTATTAAGTCTTCAAGGGTTTCAGGAAGATCCCTAGCGGCCACTTCATCTTGTAAGGACTCAGTAAGGCCCTCAAAGAAGACAGCAGTCAGGGCACTAGTGTTCCAGGTTACTTCCGAAGCAAGTGTACAAAATTCAATGGCGTAGTCTGCCGCTGATCTGGTACCCTGTTTTTATTTTCAATAAAGCCTTGGTGGCTAGTCTCTTTCTCCCTGGAGGATTGAATACATTCCTGAAAGTCTTGAGAAACAGTTTAAAATTGAACACAATGTCATTATCGCTTTCCCACATTCATGCTAAGGGTTTGCCATCTAATAGGTTCATAATAAATGCTATCTTGGACCTATCAGTTGGGAATGAATTGGGAGCCATCTCAACATGTAATCCCACTTGGTTCAAAAAAAACCCTACATAAAGACGGGTCCCCGGAGTAATGGGGAGGTGGGGTTAGACGAACAGACAGGGTTGGGTGAGACGTGGATGGTAAAGATACGGCGCCTTGTGCACTGCTCTCATTAACTTCCAGCTGGAGACACGTTGTTCTTGTTAGGATAGTTTGAGCAAACTGATCCATTCTATGGTCTAAGCCTTCCATTATAGATTCATATGCCGCCATTTGTTGCCCCAAGTTTGCAGGGTCCATGGCTCTGTCGTGATGTCAAGGTTAACCTCCCCAACACGCTCAAAAGGTACACAAAGATGTATTAACGGACCTCTGAATGGCCGGACTTAACGTGCAAAAGTACAGAGATGAGAACAGAATGGTCAGACGAACTAAGTTCAGGATAGGAGACGGAAGAAAAAACGAAGAACAAAGCCATGGGTCAAGAATGCCAGAAGGATGGATAACCAGGAAACAAGCCAAAGTCAAATACCAGAAAAGACAAACCAACAGAGCGCACTCTCAGGCTACAAAAGACCATGAGAGGGCAAGGACGGGATGAAAGAGGGAGGTATAAATAGGGCTAAGTGAGAGCTGATAGGCTAGGGAACCTAATGGGGCAGTAATTAAATAGATATAAATAGAGGGCCAGTTCAATGGTAAACATGGTACTTCCCCTTTAAGAAGCCGGAGACAAGGCGCACGCCCCCTAGCTTGTAATAGTGTGCATGTGCACTCAAGCACATGCGTGCGCACCCGAGCGTGTGCGATGTCGGCCGGACGTCTGCACACCGTGGAATTGGAGGGACAAGACGGACGGCAGGGCCAGAGCAGCACAGGCCGAGAGGTGGTATGACAGATCTCTGATCTCCCTCACCGGTCCGTGAAGGCACATAGCAGGGCCGGCGCTTGGATAGCACCAGCCCTGCAGGAGAGAGCATCGGCTCTGGATCTGCCAATGGTCCTGCAGGACTACTAATGGGAAATTTTTCCACAGCAGGAATACCGTTCCCACGCGTTCCTGCAGTACTCGAGCCCCGCTCCCAATGCTTTCCTATTGGAAAATATTGCACTGGCTGAGATTGTTAATTTTGATGATCTCAACCAAGGAAGCAAAGCGGGGCGGGGCGGGCCAGTCATAGTGAGACCTGTGTGGTGTTTTTAAAAAAGGTAAGAAAAATTACCTTTTACTCCTCTAACAGCGGGGATGGTCAGCTTAACATTACTTTTACAACTATAGTGTCAGGAATACATGTTTATATTCCTGACGCTATAGTGTTGCTTTAACTTTAATAGTTGGCATGGAACCGAAAAATCACTGCACAAAAAGGATTATTTGAAGAAAAAAAAATCTATAATCGTAGTACTTACATGTTAATGGACACTTATACTTTACATCTTAAGTATGATATAACAAAGCTAATATCGGATATATTAATGGCATAATGGTGAACAGATGAAAAAGGAAATGTGTTAATGAAATGCAGCATTAAGGAATAGTGTCCCTAACGGTTCGCCGAACGGTTCGCCGCGGACGGCGAACATAAACATAAACTTTGACCCTGTACCTCACAGTCAGCAGACACATTCCAGCCAATCAGCATCAGACCCTCCCTCCCAGACCCTCCCACCTCCTGGACAGCTCACTAAGAATGCAGCTTCACAATGAATGTAAAATGGATGCTGTCCAGGAGTTGGGAGGGTCTGGGAGGGAGGGTCTGCTGCTGATTGGCTGTAATGTGTCTGCTGACTGTGAGGTACAGGGTCAAAGTTTATGTTTATGTTCGCCGTCCGTGGCGAACCGTTCGGCGAACCGTTCGGGACATCACTATTAAGGAACAATCAAAATTCGGGCCTGAGGATCTATGTTGTAGTCATCAACAGAAATAACATTAAAAGGGACAGAGCCATCGCTTTAAGATGATTATGAACTACAGAGCAACTAGTCCCAGACTTTGTATAACTATTTAAGGCTATTCTAAAAGAGATTGGGACGATTGTCCTTATGGAGGCTTTTATTTTTGTAAAAAGGTTTCATTGGAACTGATAGGGATGAGGGAGGGATTTACTGTGATTGGCTACTAATCTTTCATTGGTTTAGTTATTAAGAAAAAAGCAGAATAAATTGAAATAGGTTTTGAAGGTAGAAAGGAGGTCACGTCATTTACTTACATCTATTGAAGGTGGGACTTGAGACATGCACCTCCTGGCTCACCATCAAATTTCCAACAGAATCAAATGAAAGCATTTGGAATAGCTTTATAAGCCAAACACCATCAAAACATTGCTTTTTACTTTATGTTTTAAATAAACTGTAACAGGGCATAATGAACCTATTAAGGGATTGTATCGAGTAGATATCTGACCCATTTGGGTTTGATTTCAGAGACAGTTGAGTTGAAATTTGTTGAGAGGATATATTTGCTTGGTTAAGAGTTAGGATAGATGCAAATTCTTGAATTGGCAGATAACATAAAAAGAAAAAACCTTGTCCCTATATGTTTGTAACGTAGGGTCAGTTATCACCTCTGCTGCAAATTCGTTAGAAGGGGCCCAGGGAACACAATCTAATGAAGGGGAAGGATCTCTTACCTGAACCTCCGGCAGTGTGCTGTGGACCTGGGTGCGGGCCTGTTGTCTGGTGACCACGAGATGGGCTTCCCCTGTGGTTGGGGTCTGGGGCTCAAAAGCAGACGCGAGCCTTCCCAGATCATTTCCCAGCAAAACTTCTGCTGGCAATTGTGGCATCAACCCCACTTCCACCACTCCTGACCCCGCTCCCCAATGTAGATGAACCCTTGCTGTAGGTAGCCGGTATACTGCTCCCCCGGCTACCCTGACGGCTACAGTCTTGCTTGTCTTAGCTTTATCCGAGACTAGGTGGCTTTTGACCAAAGTTATAGTGGCTCCTGAGTCGCGGAGCCCTTGCACAGCTTTACCCTCTAGGTATACGGTTTGTCTGTGATGCTGGCAGTTATCCGCATTTGCCTGTATGGGATCTGCCTCTTGTAGCACTTCCCACTGTTCCACGGTGGTGATTGGAACTGCTGAGCCATAGGGTGTCGTGATCACATCCTGGTAGTAGTGGGCTGCTGCTCTCGGTGGTGGTGGTAGTCCTGGTCGGATCCAGGTGGATCGGTCTCGGAGTTGCGGACATTCTCGTTTGTAGTGTCCCCGTTTCTGGCAGTGGTGACATTGCACAGAGCTAGGCTGGCGGAATCTCGGTTGGGCAGTGGCTGGTGGGGGTGGTAGTTGTCGTGGTGGTGCTGTTGTGTTGGTGGGGTAGCTCGATCCCCCCTAGGGGTCTTACAGCGGTCTTAAGGACTACAGGTTTTTGTTGCCTGCGAGCATCCATGTAGTCATCCGCTTTCCTAGCTGCCTCCGTGAGGGATGTGGGATTGCGGTCCCTTACCCATTCCTGGACATCTGTTGGTACCCCATCAAAAAATTGTTCCAACAGCAACATTTGTAATATGTCCTCCATGGACCGTGCTTTGTTAGCTTGTACCCATCCGAGAGCCGCCCGCTGTAATCTACAAGCCCACTCTGCATGGGAATGTTTTTCCACCTTCTTTAGTTCCCTGAACCGCCTTCGGTATGCTTCTGGTGTGATGGCATACCGAGCCAATATGACCTCTTCTACCTGACTGTAGTCCCGAATTTCTTCGTCGGGTACAGTACGGTAAGCTTCTGCTGCTCGCCCGGTTAGTCGCCCAGCTAAAATGGGGACCCAATCTTCTGAGCTGATGTTATGCAAGGTACACAGTCTTTCAAAATCTTGGAGTAAGGCATCTATATCTTCCTCTGCATCCACAAACATTTTAAATGCCTGGTAAGGTATTTTTGGCTTACACTCTGTTATCCTGTTTACTGCTGAGTTACGTTCTGGAGTTGTCGTTACACTTTGCCTCATTACAAACTCCTGGGCTTCCGTCATTGTCTTGGAGATGATCTCTGCCGGTGGGTTCTCTCCATAAAAAGACAGCCTAAATTGTAGCTGTGTCTTGAACTCCATTTGTTCCTGTCTTTCTGCCGAATCACTATGTTCGGGAACCGAACCGCCATCTGTTCGGTATTCCGCCATTAGTTCGGTAATAAGTACAGCTTTCTTTTTATTGCTGGCTTGAATGCCCCTTACTTCCAGGAGGTCTTTTAGCGTGGAGCGTTTTAGTGTAGAATAGTCAATTTCCATCCGTACTCCATTGGTACTTGTTCCTCTGTGAGTCTGGATCCCAGCGCTGCCAACCAATGTAGCGGAGGCCTGGTATTCCACAGGTTAACTCCACTAAAGATCCCAGTGAGGCTCAGGAACAAGTAATGAAAATACCATAAAGTAATAATTCCAGCAAGCAAGGTTATCCACGAATATCCCCATACAGATCCCAATGACTGGACGATACACAGCATCAAGAGCAGAACTGACTTTTAATGTACATAACTTCCTTATAAAGCATTCTCCCATGCAAGGGAGGGATTTGCAATAATTAGTACAGTAGCCAATCCTCCATGAGTTGCCACCCACACATCCCCTCCCCTTAGTGTGACACATAATCCCTTTATTCAGGACACAAATTCCCAAAGTTTCTGGATGTACCCCTAAACATAGGGGTACCCCTTTAAATGTTATATCCCCTGATAGCCCTGATCTGGGTGAGACACATATCCAAAAATCACCCAGATCGGACCAGGGGTTCAGGAAATTTATGGAAGTACTAAAATGACCGACCGCGCTGGGTTTACCAGCCAAAAAGGGCTCCATGCATTTTGGCCCTGCGGTCGGGCACACAAAAGGGAATGTAACACACGAATGACTTGTGTTAGGGGAGGTTTCGTGTAATTTCCCTTGTTCATGGGATTTAAACTACCAAACGAGAAGCCGTTCGGTAGTTTGCATACAAATTGGCTGCAGTGTGGAGGTCTCAGCGGTGTTTGCCTAACCGAGTGTCCGATTTGGGTTCCAGACACTCAACGGCAAAACACAGCTGTTCTGGAGTTTTGAAATGGCCGCCGCCACGTGTTCGTCTCCCGAATGGCGGCCACCCCGAGAACAAAGGACCCAGTACACGAACCGCCAATTACCCGTTTGCAACATTGTTGCGAACAGTAATTAGAGGCACTGTACCCGACTGGGTACCTCCGTTGAAGGATGCTCCTAGTGCTTCCTGAGGACTGCAAGCACTGCAGCAGACACCATAACCACCATAGACTCCTTCAGAGAGCAAAACAGGAACAAGCTCTTACAAGAGCTTAGCAGTGAAAATAGCAAGAGAGTATGCAGGGCATAGCAATTCCTTGTAGCAGATTCCCCCAATAAGAGACGGCACTCCAAATTGAGGGTGAAGTAAAAATGACTGTACTGGCACATACAGCCTCTTTTATTCACATTCTACAAACATAGTACTGCCCACAGAGTTTTGAAATACAACCAATCAATCCGTACAATACACACAGACACTGCCACACAAAATCCTCCCCTCTGCCTGTGATATGATTACTGAACACAATGGTTAATATAATTATCAGGCAGAGAAATACAGGGACCCCAAAACATGCAATAACCCCATATAAAATATATATATATATCATCGGAACCGGGGTATCTGGGTGAACCACATATAAAAAATTCACCCAGATCCGTTCAGTAGTTTGGAAGATACGGTTTAATGCAGATTCCGCAGAACATATACAGGATATATGAAAAATAATTACTGTTAAATGTGTCCCCGGTTCTGTAGTTTAAAACTACTGAACGATGTCTGTGTGCACCAAATGCCGGCGAGATGGCACTGTGTAGAAAAGTCAAAACAGTGTCTGTGAGTTAAAATGGCCACCATCCATTGTTCTCACCATGTGCTTCATCCATTGTTCTCACCATGTGCCTCTGATACATGAAATGGTGGCCACCCAGTAACTCCACAGTATGTCCCCAGATGGTTCTTAAAGGGACAGCAGCAGCACAACACAAATCCATTATGCCCAAATAATGTCTTTAAAGGGCAATACATCCCAGGGGCCATAGTCACATGGCAGGAGGCTGGCAAACAGTCTTCTCCAATGCCCAGTGGCGAGGTCGGTTTCGCCACAGGCACACTTATTACTGGGGTGGTCTGATTGTTCGGTAGTTTCATTTGCATAATACTGGAGTGATTCTACCAAACAATTAGATGAATGCTACATACACTTCACATATACAGATTACAATTTAACCGAATACATAGACATAAATGCACTTTTTAGGACAGCCCAATGCCATCCGCTACACACAGTAAAGGAGTTTAAGCATGCATGGGATAGGCATAAGGCTATCCTAACTATAAGATAAGGCCAGGGACTAATGAAAGTATTTAGAAAATTGGGCAGACTAGATGGGCCGTCACATTCTATGTTTCTATGGACCATTGCATTACTTGACTATAAGAATCTTCACCCTTAGCTTACTGCAAAATGGATGAGGAAGATTGAAGACCTGAATGTTCTGGTTTTCCCGATGATTACTAGAGAGTCCTGAAGACCCATTAAGTTTGTGGTTGTTTGTTTACATTTACATGTAACAATATTTGCTAATATGGTGGTCCTGAGTAGCCCAGCATGTTTAGTTTGAATAATTTATGTATCTCCATGGGGTTTATTTCAGAGATCTGCTTACAGGACCAAAAGGGATGTAGTGACCACATGTCAGCTTATGTGTTCTTTAGAGAACACTCCAACTAAAGCACTTTAGCTCAATGAAGTGCTTTATGTGTTAA